TTTTCAGAAATTTGTAATCTATGTTATTTAGTATGTTTACTGTGATCTTGTTTAAAAAAAAAATCTAACTCCGCCACTAGTCCATGGTAAAATGATCTTAATGAAGTTAACGTCATCAGTCCCAGGGATTCGTGTATGCTCTTACCTGCCACACACATTCACAGGTTAATTTGTGTTTCGCAAAAATTGAGACATACACGGAATTGCTAGGAATTGAAGGATAGAATGATTGATATATATATTTTTTTTGGTTCAACAAATGATCGATATCTTGAATCATTTTTTTTATAAGTAAACCACAATGAATTCAGACTGGGCCAAATCGTGTCCTCTAATTTGGGCTTAAATAATAATAAACTTTGGGCTCAAATAAAAAGCTGAAAGGCCCATTAAACGAGTACACCAAAACAAAAAACCTAGTTTCTGCGTCTCTGTTTATAACCTAACATCGTCTCTCTCACACAAAGTTCGTCGCCCAGTTTCTTCATCAACTCAGCGGCTCTGCTCTCTTTCTTCTCTGGTAACCTTTTCCTTTACTTGGAATTGATTATATATATATATTCATATGTAAACTCGAATCTGTGTAGTTATGTGTTGAATCGAACTGTTCTCTGCAAAGAAATGAAAATTTGGATTTCCTGTAGGTTATGGTTTTTAGGGTTTTGTGTTGTTCGATCTGAAATCTTAGATTTTGTTTATTGTTAGCTTAAGGAACTTGAAAAAAAAAGTAGAAGAAAGCTATGGCGTATGCACCACCGATGAAGCAAGGAAAGACAGGATTCGAGGAGCCTCAAGAGACGATTCACAAGATTAGAATCACTCTCTCCTCCAAGAACGTCAAAAACCTTGAGAAGGGTCAGATTCATTTCTCTGTTTTTTTAGCCATCTAATTCAAATCCAAGGGTCTATCTGCAATATCTATGTATTGAAAAACCTGAATTTGAGGTTTAGTCTCTTTGATTACTGAGTCTTGGGTTTTAGTCATTGCTAAAAGTTTGAAACCTAAATGTTTAGTCATTGTTGATTTCTTATTGGGTGTTTTGATGGTGTTTAGTGTGCACTGACTTGGTCCGTGGAGCGAAAGACAAGAGATTGAGAGTGAAAGGACCAGTGAGGATGCCTACTAAAGTTCTCAAGATTACCACAAGAAAAGCACCTTGTGGTGAAGGTCAGTAATCAGATCTCCCTTCTTCTTTTTTTAGGAATATTGCATAGTCTTGTGTATTCCTC